GCGATCTTTGAAGATCCCGATTTTTACAAAAATATTACGTTCCATCAATAAAAATTATATCATTCTGACTTGTTTTTCATAAGAAATATTTTGATATACAATAGATTTATTTAGAACCATTTATTTTCATAAAAACGTCATTGTCCACAAACTTTTTGGACAACCCTCGTATCTCAGCTTAAATTTTTAGAATGATGCTAAAATAATTTGTGAACAATTTGAATTGCAATTTATCACCTCGATGGCAAATTATTGCTTTAAAAAAGTCTTAGCCCATAGCTTACAGAATGAAAACAAAAGGAAATAATGCTCACCTGGGTCATTATATGACCTCATATTTTCTTCATCAGACGATTTATTCACCATATCTTCCTATGTAAATCTTTGATCGCCTTTTGCGGTGAAAATGACATGCCATTTGTAGTTGTAGAATTTAAAAAAAAATATTGCTGCCTACATTTCCAACGTAAAAAGATTAAACATTCACGTTGGCCCCAACCTGTTGTTGTAACAATACAATTATGTTACGAGGGTATCAAACAAGGACCCCTGGAAATTCCAGAGGTGGGATCAGGTGCCCAGGAGGAGTAAGCATCCCCTGTTGAGGGATGAGGTAGATGACTATGTAGGTATTCCTTTCAGAGGAAATATTTGTTGTTTTTTTCTTTTAAGAACTAGATGTTTGGTAATTCTAAATCTGATTTTGGATTACAAGCACATAAAAATGTATAAAGTTGTATGAAATAAAGAAAGCGGGCGATACTTAATGTAGAAAAGACTTTAATGTTAATCTATATAGCAACAAAACCTAAAAATAAAAGTGATGGTTTCATTTGTTCTATTGTCCACTACCCTTATCACCTTTTTAATGCCTCCCAGTTGATTCGATAAGCACGAGCATTAGGAAAGAACATTTTCTAGAGAAACACGTTGATGAATAAAGGATATCAGTAGTCTCTTTTAAAGCCATCATATAGCAAGCTCTATGGTCGATGAAATGACCTGTCAGAGAGTACAATCGAATACCGACTGACGTTTGTTAATTGTTAGACCATTTTACCACACAATTTTTTTTTTACGAATATTCCTATTTATCCGATCATGACAAAGTGCACACGTTGGGTTTGACCTGTCGACGGGGTATGCTTACTCCTCCATGGCACCTGAACCCATCTTGCATGTTTTAAGGGGCACTTGTTTGTCCTGCTCCAGATTTGTACTGATTCAATGGGGTTTTGAGTTTTATTACTACTCATGATCCCAATATTCTATTTCATAATATAGGATGATGAGCGATTTCTCTGATCACTATGGTACAAATCTTGAAAATCTCTTCTTTTTTATACAGGTATTTTCATTTGGTGATTGTCCAATACTTCTTAAGTACTCATTTAGCAAAAAAAAAAAAAACGAGTTCCTAAATGTTGTAAGAAAACACGGGAACAAATAGAGTTCTAATGTGTTCCCTTCATTTGCCAACACTTTTCTTTTATCTTTTCAATGAACAATGGCAAATATGATATTATTTTACTGTAATAGCATGTTCATTCTAAATCTTAAATTACATCACAAGAAAACTTTCACAGAATGCAACTACCATCATTTTAAGTAAGTGAAATCAATAGATTGATGGTATTTTTTTTCTTTTTTAATGAAATACGTTAAATTTGGCATTATTTTTTCTTGTAATAACCTACACTTCAACATTTAAAAAGAAACAGTAGTTTATACAGACGATTTGGAAAGGAAACAGAAAAATGTTTAGCATTCAAGGTTAGGTCTTAATTGTTTAAAAAAAAGGATGACAGTGTCATAAAAAGGCTTATATCAGGGTTTTAAAATCCCATTTCATATGACTACTATTGTATGTATTCTTCACTTCATAATTAATTTCAGTTTGTAACATATTATAATATGTTATAATAATTGCATACATTTTGTTCTTGTGTGATTTGGTAATCAAATTTCGAATAATATGATTTATAGAGGATACTTTTCATTTTCTAAATACATTATCTTTTTCAAAATCTGTTTGTCCCACCCTAGTAATTCTCCAAAATGTGCCTGTCCCATCATATTTTACACCGTCCAACCTTATAATAAATATAGCCTGGACTATTACATATTCAATGAGAATAAACCCTGTTCTAAAGAATATTTCAAAAGAACTCGTAAAACTTATGAAAGGTTTCATAATGTTTTTTGATAAAAGTGTTAAGTTCATTTCCCTTTTTCAAGCTTTACTTAATTTAACACCATATTTCTCGCAAATTTAGATAAAACTGTATACATGTACACACATCCTACCAGATACAAAGAAATGCCAAATTGAATTAATACAAAATTTGTTACTATTGGACTAAAGGGTATGTTATTTTTCATTCATGTAAATGAACTCTGGATAATGGCGAGAAACGCCGCACTTTAAGGTGACTCTAGTACGATGTTTAATCAATCAAAAATGTCAAAAGTTTGTTACTTTACGTTAATAACGGGAAAGCATCCTATCATCTTAACACCAAATAGAGCATCGGTAATCAACGGTAAAACGTTAAAATAAGGATAGTAACGTGTTTATGTATGAAATCAGTATATACCCAGGCACTGGGTCATAATAAGCCCTTCTTTGCACGATGCATTCAGATTTCCTCTATGTTAGAAACGCCAAGTCTGGAGATGTGATAAGCAAACTTCACCTGTTTATCACTGTCATTGATAGATCATAATTATCTAATGAACCTTTACATATCGCCAGCAAATTATACCTTCCCAGGTACGGACGACTTCAGGTGCAAAAATCGGAAAATTGCGTCCACGCGGTCATCGAGATGAATACCGAAGTCTCTCCGCGGGGACCTACAGATCCCGAGAAAAATCCTTTGGGCGGTAACACCAGTTGCGGACGTGGACAGGTAAATAGTCGGAACTTATCTTTACTGATCAAAGAGAGCGATGCGCCATGGAGCCGTGAAGGTATTGCTCGTTATCCCGGCACCATTCTCTATGAAATATTGAAAAGATGGACCGGGAGTCAAGATTCCACGATTGTGGTATTTTATTATTTATGCGGACAGGAAATGGTCAGCGACCGACAACAAAGGTTTATGATCGTCAAATACACACGATAACATATCTCAGGTTTTAATCTAAGTACCATCGCGTGAAACGAGTTTGTTCTGCATCATAAATATGATGTACATGTAATAAGTTTATAACATTTAATTTCCCGCAAAGTGGTATCATGTACTATACAAAAACCTAAAACAAGCAAACAAACAAACAAAAAACGAACAAAAACAAAAAATGAAAACGCAAACAACCAAAAATTAAAATCGTCGAATAAGGTTACTAAAGAGACTGAATGTATATGTTTTACGAAATATTCTCTTTGGGGAAAAAACTAAAAGAACACAGAATTCGCTGAGGGTTTTGTAATAAAGAATGAATCATCCAACAGTGTCAGCTGCTTGTATGAGGGAAACCCTGGACAACAAAACTGTTAAAACAAAAAACGGTTTAAGATCGGTAAGGAATCGTGAGTCTTCCCTCTTCTCCGTACGTGGCGGTGACAAATCACCTTAAAAATCCGATACCTTAGACGGAGCGCTCTGTCATTGCTATTGATTTACGAACCTAATGCCTGTCTTTACTGGATTAAGAAGCCCCAACGTGCGAATATTATTTGATTTGAGACCCTTTAAGTCCCTTATGCCCGTAAACTAACTGCTTTACCATTGGCCTGATTGCATTATCGCCCTGAAATAACACATCATCTTTTCTTCGCTGTCATAGAAAATTTTGCAGACTTCGTCTTTTCCACCCCTCTCTAAACCCTTGCCTCCCGAGAAATCATAAGTACTTGATATTTTTCCACGTACATGTAGTTCGAAACGAACTCTAAAATGTTCGAGTTTGTCATGTACTGTTTAATATGTGCCTTCCTAACCCACTCTCTTTCACAACTTACAAAACTTGCCCATAGATGCCGAATCGAACACTCGGTGTTCTTTTCTCATTACGTTCTTGTTATAGCTCTGTCGATTGTATTTGGTGTGAACACGCTTTCTCGGGTGGCATCGAAGACAAACCAAAGGCGGCATTCGTAACCAATTTCCCACTTACAACTGCAGAACATGCAGCTACCCGGCGTGTGCTCGGTGGAAATTAGAGCTGTATAATCCAAAATAACAACACCGAGGCGAATCGTAACTGATCCCTTGGACGTCTTTAACACACTCGTGCGAACTTAAGCAAAGAGGAGTAAACCATGTCCACAGTTATCTATTTAAAAAAAAAAACCCTACGATTTCTCTATTTCAAATGAAAAAATATTGTGTAGTTTAAAAATAACAGAATTATGTTTAATTTATTTAACTAAAAATTAAGTTCTCACTTTCAATTCATTTATGACATTTAATAAATAGATTAATATAGAATAATTGCGAAAAAGAAATGTCAAACGCTTTAAAATCTGAGAAATTTAGGCTTCATTTCATTAATTTGTTATTATTATTTTTTTAACTTAGGCATATAAAATATTAATTAATACATATTAATATGTAAATTAGTTTGTTATATTCTACAAGTATGGCTGTACGGAGCAAGGAGAAAATGAATATAGATAAAACTTAATGTAAATAAATACAAATAAATTCTATTCTGTTCTATAAATATATGTATAGCTCAAAATATAAGAGATATATGAGATATATATGAAAATATATTAGAGAAAACTTCATTTCAGCATTTAAACATCTACATAAAATGGTCCTCCCCTGACGCCGCGGTTTCGCGGTTCTGCCGTCGCCGTGAGGTGTGACTATTCCCGGTGCTCTCGACAACTTCTCCCTATTTAGCTCTCCCTCCAAGCGGACAGGTGCCCGAGCTTTCCACGGCTTCGTTCCCTCTGTTGTCAAAGACCGTTCTTTGGTCCCCTCTCTACTGAAACCTGCGAAAGGCTGAATCTGTCTGCCTATAAACAATGAACGATCGATTTCCACATGAATATTCATTTTGTAAAGGTCACGTGCGATATCCCGGTTGCAAGTTTCAAAAGCATCTCGACCAATTGCTGATGACATGTTATGTTAAGAATTAAAGGTTCAATCGGAAAAGAAGAAAAACTGTCTCATCGCTAAACTTCCGAAATCTGAACAAGTGACTCGGAGCTGATATTTCTTTGGCTTGTTAAAAAAAAATAGGAGCCCAATGAATATGACATCCTTGAGTGAGTTACCCCCAGCCCACCCAGGATATCATACGGAGGGGACCAGGGCGAGTCCCAGCCCCGCTTCGCTGACCGAAATGATAAGTCGGAACAAATTCTTGGAAGGTAAGTGATTTAATCTGATTGATACGCTCTTTGATGTCAATTTCAGCAGTCAATTTCCTTAATTTCATTCCGGTAGTCCGATACCAATTAGTTTGTCGGCTTTAATATTTCAGTTGATACTACCCTTCACTTCGTGATTGGAAAATACAACGATATCGTGATGCAAATCAAATTAATTTTTTCGCTTAATATAAATTAATAATAATAGACCAGGTTTGTTGGAATTGGGTATTATGTATAACGATTAGTGTTTTTTACTAATCAAGTTTTCTATACTCAGCATGGAGGGACAGTACGGATTAAAACTTGGCGAAGCGATGTAGACTTCTTAATTAACTTTCGACTCCTCAATTGATTTCTATTGGGGCATCTAAATTTAATATAATGGGAAAACGCGACCTGATTCTGGGGTTCATTAACAACAAATTCTCACCAAGATGTGGAGTGGACTGAAATCGTCCGAGTGTTTTCTCTCAATTTACTGAAAGACGGAACTCCGCATTTAAAACTTTTTCTGTTTGAAATCAACTTGAATTATTTTTATTCGAACTGATAGGAGGATTTTCTATTGTCATGGTATGTTATTTTAACTAAAAAATTTTAGTAATATCGTTGATTTGGTATTGCTACTTTGCGTTTCTTAATGCAGATTTAGTGTCTCATTTTAAACAGAAAAATGACATTTTTAGTTAATAGTTAACACTATTATGATATATTTTTAAACAGAATTCCCTCTAGAGAACACGTAAGAGCGTTCATACAATAAATACACAGTATCGATGTCGACCTCCAAGATTTTTGGAATCGTGCAAAAGAATTATCATCAAGGAGCCAGCTTGCAATTTAAAATACATACTAAACTTATCATTTACTTATTTAATTTTACTTATTATCGAAGAAGTGGGTATTAACACGAAGTGAGTCCTTTTTTGTCAACAAATTTTGATCTTGTCATGTAATTTCCAACTTTTGCAAATAAGTTGTGCCTTAGTTTACAAGTCCAACAAAGTGTCATTGAATTCCATCAGAAAGAGAGATATTGCATGGTACAAGGAATAATTCTAGATTTATTTTTTTTTCGTTAAAATATAATTGGAAAAAAATCTCACATTTTGGCGAATGAATGCGTGAGCAAGTGGCTTCTCCAGATACCTTGGATCTTTTAAAATTGCTGTTGTGCCGTTTAAAGAAATTTCTAACCAATCAAAAACAATATTTCAATTTTATTCCTTCTCTTATATTATACATATGTTCTATAAAGATGCACTTTAAAAGTAAATAAGAAAAATAAAATATCGCATTTAAATTAAAAAAAAAAAAACATGACATGAAAATTCCATATAAAATGCAGATTTTTTGTTCGGAAATGAGACATTTGCTCTGAAAAATTGATTTTAGATTGGGACAATCCTTGTTGGAGTTCCGGACTAATCCTCTTACGGTGCGAGTCCGGATTTGTGACAAGATAGAACTCCAGGTGTAATTAGCGCCCGATAATCGGATGTCAGTTCATAAACACGCGGAAACTTTAGTGTACCTTAACAGAAAATTCTTTTCAAAATAATCATATAAAAATTATAATTATATTCATCTATAATTTTTGTTTTATAAAATATAAAGTGCGCAAAAAGTCAATTTGTACAATTGGTTCTTTATTTATTATGTCTTAAAGAGGAAGAGAAAGTCAACGGTTATGGTGACTTTTCTTAGAGAAAAAAAAGATACATGTGATTTCAACCGTTTTCTCTCCGTATCTTCTATTTGTTTCGTTATCATTTGAATTGAAAGACGGGGACGTGAGGGGTTTTCTTTGAAGTTGACAATGGCCATAGGTTGAAGTGAATGAATTGAGTTTAATGAGAAATTAAACCTAATATTTCCCACATTTGTCACCAAGTGGCCTGATAGTAATCGTGTGGTCACTGATGTGTGACGATCTAACGGTATCGCCGCACGTGCTCGCTAGGTAACTATGCGTGCAGCTTTTGTTTCTGGATGCACCTGCCCATAAAATTTGAAAATGTGACAATAATTTGGATACAGTTCGTCTGTAGTTCGCTCTTTGTAGAATTTTTTGTAATCTTTTAAATCAACACTTGCCAGAAAAATCAGAGCAAACGTTAAGCGCAAGACCATTATTTCATAACACGCCGTCAAAAAGCATTATTTGATACACTAAACGGTAGAATTCCCAGTTTTAATTACAGACCTTAATGAGGAATCATTAAATGAAAACATTTATTTTGTGCTCAATCGAATTTCGAATCGGTCCCTTGAGATACCAGGGCGTCAAATACATACAGATGAATACTGAAACAAAATCGAGTCCATTCAAAGGCTACCTAACGCTGAATGTTTGCCGAAGATCGAGTATCATGTGCAGTTAAATGGGGATCTCTTAAGATAGTTCATGACAAAATTTTTGTAGCTTTGAACACAATTAAAACCTTTTAGGACGGAGATTGATAACAAATGAATTTTGACAAATTAATTTCATCATTCCAAACTAAAATGGATTGCGTGTGCATAATTTGGGTATTTGTAAATATAACTTCGTGTTTTTTTTTAAAATTAAATTATGATTATTTTAGAACATGTTGACGTGCTCTCGAACCACATTATCGCATTAAAACAATAAGGTTTTAAAAATAAATTATTTTTTTTAAAATGAGAGATGATACAGAAATTGATACAGAAAGCAACTGCATTGTATTAATTTTTTTAAAGAGCCATCACAAAAAAAATATTGCTTCCTGTAGCAGGAAAAAATTTGTTGACGTTATTTTGACACGTGCCGACCGGCGAATTTATTCTTCAATATGACAAGACCGTACAGGTGTAATTTAATAAGCCGTGAAGACGAGAAAGATTTGGGGGAAAAATCAATGAATAATGAACCTTTATCAAACCTCACAAAAATATGCTTTCTTTTTTTTCAGTAACATCAGTCTGTTTTAAAATCAGAGAAAATATATTTTCTCCACGATTTTCAGTGGAACTAATACAATTAATTGTTTAACTTGTTACTACTTAGTCCCTCGCCCCTTTTCTGACAATAATTCTTTGACCAAGTCACAAGTCCGTGTTGACATTTCCGCGAGACCTCCAGATGGGTGGCGCGTGCGTGTTCCATTTGAATAATTTTCCACACGGACGGAACACGACTGGATTACTTCATTTTTCGGCAAATATGGTGTTTTGCGCGATGACGGACCGTCGAGCACGTGTATTGGGCATAACTTGAGAAGCAGCGGTAGGGGAAGGCATTGTTGGACAGAGAGGTGCCATTTTGCTCAAATTCCTATGGGGATGGTCGGTTCATTAATTTTACTTGTTATAACATTTTGTATTCTCAAATTTTACGGTGTATAAAATCTGTTCTTGTTTGCTGTCCATTTCCGCGTAAAATGAATGAAAAGGTAAAGGATATTAGAATTGACTGATATCGATGCTTATTAAAAATATGAAATATTACAAAAATGTTAATTAATATTTAGGAAAAATCACTGTTCATAATGAAAAAATGCAACAGAACTATGTATCATATTCTTTTATTGTAACGATCGATTCATATACTTTCTCTTCAAATGCGTCCCCGATTTCATAGTCATTCTTAATATAAACACGCCTCTAGAATATCCTTTTATTCATTTTTTTTAAAATCAATTTTATTAATTATTTTTCCCTACGTTGCAAACAATGAGTCAGACATATACAATTTGAATATGTTTAGGAATATGACTGGTTTTGTATTACAGACTATTCTTTTTCTTTCTTTTATTTTACTTTCTGTCAAACACATCTTGGAGGTGGGCGTTGTAGACTCGGATCAGTCCCACTGTAATGTTTTTACAATGTAGATACACAGGCGTAAAACTGAGGAAAAACAAAATAATGAACTTTAACCGTATGTGGACAAATGTTCACATTCCAGACAAAACATGGCTTCACCTAAAAATCATATTAAAATAATTAAAACCTATCTTATTATTATTCTGACTAGAGACAAACATGTGATATTATTTTTTAAAGAAGAATTCGAAAAAATAAAGGCCTATCTAAAGTTGAAACTATTCAGTTAAAAAACAAAACCTTTTAAATTGTTCAGGGGAGAGGTTTAATTAGACCTAAACACTACTTTACGTGTACATAGCATTGCAAACAACTATGAGAATATGCGCAAAAGAAATCTTCACTCACTAAAAAATAGTTGTGATAATACTGACAAAAGGCAACTGATTTTTATCTTAATAAAAGAAACCGAAAATCGGGAAAATTTCTCCGAATTCTAAAAAAATTGCTGAAACTTTTGTCGGTTTTGAATCTGTTTTTATAAATTTATAAAAAAAAAAAAAAAAAACATTACATGTACATGGGCGCATGGCACCGTTAACTCACGCTTAATTAAGCCAATGAAATACATAAAACAATGCATTGTAGAAAAAAAAACTAGCCCCATATGGCACTTCTGTTAGAGTTAAACAGTCATGCTTATTCATTGCGTTTGTAACTTGTATTTATCCACGAAGAATCTCTGGATTTATCGTGTAAAGACGGCTATTGTCCCCGCCCCAGGAACATCACAATAAACCCAGTCCCGTCATCAACAGATGGCCGAACAAAGCCACCAGAACTAGAAAACTGGTGTCAGTTTCAGGCACTCGCTCGCTCTACTCAACTACCCCTGGAGCCAAAGTTATCAATTAAAATAGGACTAGGACCGGGAAAATGAACTAGCAATCAAAGTCTATTTACGCCAACAAATCCCATGAATACCTAATTTATGTTTTTTTCGCTAGAAATTTGCATACATCCAATTCTTTTCGACAAAGCCACTCATCCCAATTCTCTGGAAAAACAAAATCTATCTGTTCATGTTGTTCAATATTTACCCAATTTGATGAATGAGTTTGGCGTGCGCAAAACAATTCAGACGTAAAATAAAATTTGATATTAAGGTATTTTAAGTTTCCCATTGACTAGCTAGGGGGGATGAAAGGTATCTTTTAATATGTTATAACGTGTAACAAAAAGTATCTGCGTTTTTCCAGACAAGCTACATACTCTGTTTTCTCACACGGGGAACAATTTATCTAGAATTCTTGTCTTTATCATGTATACATACCTGTATGCTCAAGACCCAATTAAAAATTAAAAAGACTATTGAATTGACCATACATATGGTTTTTGAGAGAATAAATGGGTGACTTAGTTTGAATGGCTCTTTCTATAGTAAGTTTGAATGGCTTAAAAAATTGCACTACTGCAATCTATATAAATTATCTTTTAAATAAATACTTAAAAAGTATCCTTCGCCGTCTTATTTAACAGAAATTAAAGAAAAGAGTAAATATTATTCTTTTGTTCATGCACCCATTCTCGTTATATTTTACTAAATCGAACTTTAATTACTTAATTTTGAAATCAACATTTTTTGTCATAACGGAGCAAGCTGACCAGAGTAACGTCAAAATCAAACGTCAAGACAATATCCAAGAAATATTCTAATTCTTCATTTCACACACAGTCTGTGCTGCCTTGCCCTTTTAATGATAAAATTTCTACAATTTCACTTAATACTAAGTATGCTAACACTTATTCGATTATCCATAGAATTGATAGTCTTAGTTTCTTTTAATTCTATCTCTGTTTTTACTATAGTTCACAGCTGTAAAGAGAACGTGCCTTTGTATTGTTACAAACAGTTGAAATCATTTTTTAGAAGCCATTCAACATGCAATACAGTCTCATCCTAAAAAAAAATATTTATACACATACACTTACTTCGTATATATTCTTCTTTCTCAAGTTTTTCCCTAGTTTGTTGTAGAAACAAGTGCAAAGCAACGTTTTATCGTATAAAGCCGTTGCTGGAAGTCCCGTAACAATACGGTCTTCCCACATTTCTTGATTTTATCATTAAAATAGAAAGTATGTTGAGATTACAATATTTTGACTTGCTCCGTGATCCCATTTTAATAGTTTCAACAATTTTGAAGTATAGATTCTTCATTTGAAGTTTCAAAAATCAATTAATGTATTACTGTGAAAAACCAACCAGATTTTTTAAAACTCAACACCAAATTCAAGAAAATCATTTTCATTTTTTAAGAAAAACGTCGCATGTAAAATAAATAAATAAATAAAAGGTAATCGTTAATTTGCTTATTATATATAGGTCTTTGGTCAGTTGAATAGAAAACATTGTAATTATACAAGAACTACTTCGAAGTTTATACCAAAAGATTCTGGAGTCTTTGATAAACAATATCTAAGTTGTTTTTGTAAATCGTTTGGCAGTTCTTGGATTTCAGTTGCGTACCTTTTAAGCAGACCTAGTTTTGTATTCACATGAAGCAAAATTTATTCAAAACCTTCTACATGCAAAGAAGTTTCCTGTTGTTAACTTCAATTTAATATATAAATAGAAGACCTTCAACTAATTAACAATATTCATTTGCATCCCTACTTTGATTGATATATCCCTTTGAACTCAAAAATAAAAATTCCAACAAGTATGACATACTAAGTATGTGTTCCAAGTTTGGATATTTTACTTGAAAAGACGTTTATACTGGTTATATAGCAATCATCATTTACTTATGGAGTTAATGTTTCCCAGTTGACTCGATAAAAAAAAAAACATGCTCTACGTATACGTGAGAACAATTTTTAAAACGAGGCAAATTATTGTCCATTAAATTGATGAAACAAAGATACCAAAAGTTTCGTATCAAGGTTGACTGACTTTGTCAGTAAATATAATCTATCTTAATCTGAATACTGACAAACGTTTTTCATTCAAATTTTTAAACCAGTATTTTCACACGGAATTATCTACGAATTTTTTGATTGTTCGATCAGATCGAGCACGGTATATGGATGTGACCGATTGACCGGGGATTCTTACTTCTCCATGGCGCCTGATCCCACTTCTGAGTTTTCTTTTTAAAAGATCTGTGTGTTTTGCTCATACAAGAAATTTCAATGGACATCGAGCTTGATAACTGTTTGTTATATTATCTCGCTATTACATGGACCTGTGCAAAACTAAACCTCCCAACTGTAACATATGTAAACAAAATGAAATTCTTAACATCAACGTTCTGCAGCAAACTTAAATAACTTTGTGAACTCATTGCTTATCATTGATCTATTGAACTATTGAACAGTTATTGATCATTACATATATTATTGATCTTTTCAACTATTGAACTATTGAACAGTTATTGATCATTACATGTATTATTGATCTTTGCAACTACTGAACTATTGAACAGTTATTGACCATTGTATTCATTGTATGATTATGCATTTTTCAATTTATATAAAAGTAAAGCCATGACAAAAAACTGCCAAACCATTGTTGCTTTATTCTATCGAAATAACTATATATATATCAAGCGTTAGAACATTCACATCAATTTAAAGTCTATTATAAATTTTAAAAAATGATAGGACGAACATTGAATTTTTATGACTTACCACTCAAAATATAACGTTGCATTTACCAGGTATATTGGTTACCTATTTGTTATGGACTAATATGGACTGAATATTGTCACTTTTACAGCTGCTATTCCGAAGTGTGCCGGGTGCGGGGAGCCGATCTTGGACCGCTTCATCCTGAAGGTCCTGGATAGGTCGTGGCACTCCCGCTGTCTGCAGTGCCACGATTGTCACGTCAGACTGAGCGACAAGTGCTTCTCAAAAGGAGAAAAGGTTTTCTGCAAAGATGACTTCTTCAGGTTAGTTACATTTTCAGAATAAAATACATCGTCTTCTCAAGATAGACATTGTTAGAGAAAGACAAAATTGTGTATTAAATGTGTTGTTGATTACTGGTACAACCTTTTTAAGAAGTCTAAAAACAGATGTAAAAAAAGGCAATAAAACTTAAAATTAAAAATCACATTTTTAATATATGGGTAACGTTAAATATCTTTGTATAATATGGTGTTAAGTAATTGGAGATTTGACATGTACTTTACAAATCTAAGCCACTCTTTTCTCTGAAATGTTAATTTAATGATCAAGCTTGCTCCGATTAATTTCGTGCATTTATCACACCTGACACGAAGACACATCGTACCTGTGTTTAATGGCTCAGAATTTAAAACTAAATGATGGAAGGTTAGAAACATCATTTGATTTGTCCGTGGAGTGCCATGTGTTACATTTTTATGTCTCATCAATTCCCCGAAAGGTACATGTATATTATGGAATACTTGAATCTATTGGATGGTACGAAATGTCAATTTTCACTGGAAAGAATTTACCGATCCATCCATCTCTACCCAATGCATATCACAAAAATTCTTGCATAATACCAACGTTATTGTGTTTTAAGAAAATAATTATCCTTGTGTTTTTTTTTCTCAATGTAAGATGGATCAACTCTTCACGATTTTCTTTATACCTGTATTGGAGAGATATTTCACTGATACATGTAACAATCTATCAATACGGGGACTTCTACACAACTGTTCTGATCGCTCGATGATTACAATAGTTTCTTTCCGTCAGAAAAAAGGCGATAACAGAGAGGTAATAATCATTAGCGCCACACACGCACGTTTGTGCATCAAGTTAGAACTAGAATCTAAACTTTAAATGTAAAAGGAGAAAAAATGCTGAGCCTAAGAAAAATTAACTGTTTAATAAAAAGAGTGAAAAATTCTCAGCCAATTTTTTTCAAATAATATCGTATTTAAACCAAGTCTTTCAAACTAATAATATAAATTGAACTAGAAAAAATCAGGTTACAACATTTTAAATCTATCAGTTAACTATACGACTCGTTGAAGATGGAATTGTGTGAACCGAATTCTTTCACCATGGCACTGTTTAAAACATCAAAATTAAATGATCGTGTTAGTAATAAAACAATTCCAAAAAAAATTAGATACGCAATTTTGTTTAATTAAATGTAGTGAAGATATGAGAATTATCTTTTATAGCTGCCTACATTCCTACTAATTCGTTAACATCATATTTCGACTCTAAATTAGTATAATTTGGAAGCTGCTAAAAGTTGATTTAAAACTTCAAACTTTCAAAAGCATGGTTAAAAAATATAAGGAAAAATAAAACACAACAGAAATAACTTTTTATATTTAAATGTAATTTGCTCGTGCAAACCTAACCATAAAAATGAAGTGAATGGATTTGAAATAAAATATTTTTTTTCATTTTCTGACTGTAAAGATGATTCATTTCTGTGGAATTAGACTGGATAAAATGAAATCTGTTTTGTCATGTTGATATAATATACGACAAATATACTCGTACGTAAATACTTCACCTTCTTTGATTACCAATTTACTAAAATACAGAAAAAAATAATTAGAAATTTAATTGATGAAACGCGTAGAAATTCAGAAACACGTGACTCAGACAGTGGTACCGAGACTTACGTCATCAAAGGTATCAACAGACAAGCTTTACCTGAATTAAATTTCCTATCATTTTATGTTCTCTTCGTCTGAGCGTTAGACAGATGAAAGACCCGTTCTTGGAGATTTTTACGATGATTTTATAATTTTCATCTTCGTCGTATTAATCTAGGAAATGTAAACATCGAATGTCGTGCCCGATTTATCTTGTCCTGACGAGGCGGCATAAAACCAGTAGCCTGATGAAACTTCATTTGATTAAAAGGATAACATTTCCCAGAACCAAGTTTGGTGCGGTCTTGATTAATTAATATGTGACCCAAAGTCAAGTGCATTGAGACAGATGGGCGCTCGATCAAAAGTAAATCTCTCCAGTTTTCTTTTTCTCCGTATTTCAGACTGATCCTTGGTTTAACCAGCATTGTTTGTTTTCCACTTTCTTTGAATCCCTTCTTCTTGAGAAAGTCTTAAATTCATATTCATTTTTCGAGGGCCAGTCCTTATATGAATTTCAATGACAGAATGATTAAGATTAACCATTTGAGTTGGGGAAAATCTGATAAATTTTTTACAGTGTATCACAAATGTATAAATAATAAGTATAATTTGTGTAATAATACTTGTAATTGTTTTTTCGTCATCATTTCGTAAGTTCTATGGTCGATACAACGACTTTGTCAGCAAAAACAATTTATCATAGAATCAAATGCTGACTGACGTTTTTCATACTGTTTGTTAGTCCATTATTTATACACAGAATTGATGACGAATTTTTTCTTTACCCCCCCCCCCCCCGATCATGACAAGGAGCACTCGGCGGGTGTGACCAGTCGGCAGGGGGTGCTCACTCCTCCATGGCACCTGATCCACCTCCGATGTTTTGGAGGTCCGTGTTTGCTCTGCTTTTGTTTTGTATTGTTTTATGGACCTTGATATGTAATACTGTTCGTGGTGTAAATATCCTTCATTTTTCAAAAATATTTCATAACTTTTTTATATGAATTATCAAGAACGTAATGATGACTGAAATATTCTTTTGTATTTTTCAATTTTTATATAAAGAAATAGATATTAAAACGATGCAAGCTTACTGAATATTTTTCTCTTTAATTATTTTTCGGTCCTAATTGCTTGTATAAAAAATTTAAAATGTATTAATATCGTGTATCTTATATAACAACACAATTAAAATCCATTTTTGTTACGTATCTTCTTATATGTTGACTTTAAGTATGGTATTCAGCAAGATTTACTTAATATTCCAGCCATCCAGGGCTGCCATTATTGGAAATGTAAATAATGTCATAAACATATAACGTACATTTGTAGTTCCTTTAGTGAAATTTCCTACGAAAGTATTTTATCATTTTTCTTACAATTTACCTGCAAAAAAGGGAGCATACACTTTTATTCTTTCAATAAAATATAATACATGTGTCACGTTCATGTTCTTTCAAACTGTGACTAAATATAACTTTGATAAATTCTTTGATAATGTGACCAAATGTTACTTATATTCAATTAATATGTAGAAAAAACTAATTCCTCTGTCAATAAATAGAATAGTTAAAAAACCTATAAGAAGCGCATAAGAATAAATTAAGTCGAAAAAATGCATGTAGATATTTTTAAAGTAAAAGAATGTTTGAACATAGAGAAATACCGATCGAGGACATTCAGACATTTTTAGATGCATCTTTATTCCCTTGCTTTATAGGGCCTGTATATTTAAGTAATACTGTATAAATATGTCTATAATAGTAATGAAACAGATAGCAGCGTTTTGAAAAAAATAAATTTCATTTGTAACAAGTTATTTCCTTTATATAAACCACTTATGAACAATAAAGAACACTAAACTATTAGAAATAACCATCGCGAATTGTAATCGTTTTTGTAACAAACAGTGAACAGTGCTTGACTATTCAACAGTAATTTATTTACCCTATAGTACCCTAATGACTATTAAGTGTCTTGGAAATTAACAGGCACGTTGTTTCCCAAACCTATTTTTCAGCAGTCATATGATAAAATAGAGATTAGATGACAGGAGCTGGTTTGACTTGATGAGACTTTAACGACTGATAGTTTCCTTAAAAGAAAAAAGACGACCAATCAGAAATTCATACTTAATAAGAAAGAAAAACAGAACATTACCTCTCTTAATTTAGCACAACATCTGTGCAGATTTTATTTCTAAGAGAAATGGCCATTTGGTTAACTTCTCAACGACCAAAAAATACAATACAATTTCTGGATGGAAATGGTGATCGAACACTAAAATAAAAAAGGATTCAGTCAGTCATGAACATCAATATGTGCACGAATTGTCTGGCAGGTGGATAGAGACTGTGATGTGTTTATCAATGCAAGCAAACATACATCGGACATTTTCTTTAGCATAATATGACAACAAATCAAAAGGACTGTCGAGGATAGGATACAAATTTTGTCCAAACCAATTTGTTTCCAGACAAACTTTTAGCTTCCGATGTTTAATGATCGTGCTAAATCTTCATTGTAAGAGATCTCATCGCAATGACTGATGCATAAACAAATGATGGGCACTGAAAAAAATCATCAAAAATGACTATGGAGTTCGTGTATCTTTTATTCTGCAAACTGAAACTTACCCAAAACATCTGTAACAAATACAGGCAAAAATAGACAAATACCGTATAAGTAGAATTTTTAGCGAGGATTTAATTTTGGCATTATTAGCGAGGATGCTGACATCGCTAAAATTAAACATCGCTAAAAATTAATTGCGTATTATTTGTAATAGCTTCTTTAGTTAGCATTTTAAAATCGCTTAAATTACTTCTCGCTAAAAATAAAATACCATATTTTAGGTAGAAATCGCTAAATTTGCGTCTCGCTAAAATTTCCACTTATACGGTACTATGTACATTTATATTGTTTAGTTCTTTCCACTTTAAATATATCAAATGAATATTTCAAATTTTTATATCTTTCCTTTTGTGACAATACAATTTAAATTAACATTCGATTTTCAATGACAGAAAGTTTATCAAACTGTCGTGCATATGAAAAAAAAACGTGGAAGGTCTAGACTGTGTCATCACATAATGTCCTACATGTACGTTATAGCATTTCCACAACGAGGTCTAAATACTGCATAGCTCTCTTTGTAACAAGATTAAAATATATGGAGATACCGAGCAATATTAAAGGTAAAGCTCAAACGCCCATTCAAACAATACAAATAAGGAGCAGAGCAAACACAGACCTCTTAAACATCAGAAGTGAGATCAGGTGCCATGGGGGGGGGGGGATGTGCATCCCCTGCCCACCGGTCACACCCGATGTTTTCTCCTTGTCATGGTTGAAAA